TCACGATAGCTCAAGTGGTAGAGCAGCGGCGTATCAAGCCGAAGATCGTAGGTTCGAATCCCCTCGTGCCATTGACTTATTTATCTCAACTAAAAACCTTAATTAATTGTAATATATTAATTGGTCAAGCGGACCACGAAATTAGTGAACATAAGCATAATGTGACTAGGTAGGGAGTCACTGTAACTTCATCAATTGAGCCTTGTTGACACTATTCTTCCTGATTATGCGAACGAGATGTAAATGTGCGTGATATTGCATAAAACCTTTTTGTGTTGTGATTTTTGTTAAGCGTTGAAAATCGCGCTAAATCACGCCAAATTATGTCCAGTTGTCATAAAAACCGATCCTGTCGTACAGAAGGGGGAAAAAATGTAAATCTGTTCAGCGGAAAACGCTCTCATTTTCCCGGTGGAAAAATTTCCACTCCGCTTTCCCCCTGTCATCATATTAAACCAGACGTTCCGACAAAACAATAAAAAAAAAAAATCTACAAACGACAATTTCCACCGGTGCAAATGATACGTCGTAAATTTGTATCATCAGGAGCGTCCAATCAGTATCAATTTAAGCAGGAGGTCACGGTCATCGGGCGAAACAAAAGAGGGTGAAAGCTCTCCGGCACAGAGGTCCTTGCATCAGAGGCTGAAAGGACGAAATAATCCTTATATAACCGTAGGACCTTTTTACCTGTTAAATAACCGACGAGTCAGCCCATTATTGTACCTATCGTCCATTGCAACACGTACGACACACCATTTTTTACTCCGCGATCTAAATAACCTGTTCGATATATTACAAAAATTGACAATATATATAACCGTAGTAGCTGTAAATAATACATCAATATATATAATATTTATTTTAAGGAAAGATAAACTATTTAATTTAATAACTATTTAATGCAGGTTTCGTGTTCAACAAATGTCAAAAGGGGCTAAAAATCTTTATCTTGCCTAAGAGAAAAATTAACAAATGAACAAATATAGATATATCTTATATACTGTACGACCCAGCGTAAAGCAAAGTTTATTTTCTTTTGGAAGTGAAATAACGGAGATTTACACGGCGTAACTTCAAATATTTAAAAGATAATGAAATAAAACCAAGGGTTTAATTTTTAAACCGGTTTTAATTTTCCTTTTTATAAAAATGAATACGGCTGAAATTAGCCCTTATTTTCAAGTTCTTCCATAAACTTTGTCCCATTACAATTTAAGCTTATATTTCTTTACATCTGTTCCTAATCATATATTTTGATCGATACGGTTTTAAACTTTTTTGTAATATATTTACAAATATTCTTTACAAGACAGACTTTTCAATGCCAAGTAAAATTCGGAAAATTCCGTTGAATTCACCTCACAATCAATTAAAAAATAAACTAAACAAGAACTTTCTTCAACCCTCTTAAATTTACTTAAGAAGAAAAAATTCTCAAAATTAAGAGCTATAATCGGACAATTTTTAAGCAGCACCTGCATTCAACAAGAAAATAGAGTTGGATAGTTTAGATAGTCATCCTGGAATGTCTATTATCCATGGTCCCTGTTAAAAAGTCAAGTTAGGTCCTAAATTACAAGCAGATTGACTCCGAACTTCCTACTTTTGATGGCGTTCAAGGCTTTTCATATATGTTCAGTGGATGTCAGCAGGTTGTTTCTCGTTCAACCCCCAATTAAATAGTTTTAAATTAAATAGTAAAGTTAGGTTCTATTCTCTAGATTGATTGACTCCAAACCAACTGGATATTATTGCTGGTTTCGTCAAAGAGATGTATAAACAGAGAAGTATAAATCAAATTTTCTTCAAATATGTAATTTAGAACCTAACAAGATTGATTAAAATGCCATCAAAGAAGGGTCAGCAAATTTTTCAACTATGTAATGTCAAAAGTGACTGTAGGGTTGATAACCCAGTCCTATTAAAAAACCCATAAAGTTTTAGAACTCCATTCTTCTAAAGTGTAATAAGAGAGGCTTCCATAGAGCTTTACAATGGAGAATTCAATTTAAAAAAGTTTAAGAACTTCAAAGAGGAAGTCAAACTTTTTGTTGCACAAATCACTTGTTTTAAACACTAGGTTGTAACAAAATTTTTTGTAAGACTGGAAAAACAAAGCAGTAAAAAATCCTGAGGTAATAGAAGTTCAAATAGGAATTAAAGCTCTCAATGAGCCTTGATTCCATCGAAAAAGGCGAACGTCAGTTTTTTCCTTTATGATATATAATGTGAAATATATTTCGTTAAATCTAACACATTCGCGCTAATAAATTATTCCTCTTCAAAACCAATAGATAGCCGAAGATCTTCGATGAACTGCAAATACGTTCATATTTCCTGTCAGACTATGTAAAAAATGAATGAATTGGTATTGGCGTACAGCCCTGACCTCGCACCTTCGGACTACCACTTATTCATGGTTCATGGCCCGCGGCCAACCAACCGGAGTGAATAAACGGAGATTTGTGCGAATAAACAATTAAAATGCAATCAAGTAATTTGTTTTCGTGTCGAATTTTTTTTTCATTACACAAGGAAAACATTTTTGTTCATTGGTTATAAAATTATTTTATTATTAATAATAGGACCAATTATGAAGAAATATTTTAAAATTGGTTGTCGTTTTCTATATTTTTGGTTGGATTTCACTTTTTTAAATGTAACAAATAGGGAAATTTATTGAAAAGCTGTGAGAAGCATAATAATAAGAGGAAATGTTGTGTGGATAATTATACCATTTTGGTTGAAACGTCCAATAGCAGTAATTCGACAGATGTCACAATTGTAAGTTTTACTGTAAAGATTTGTCATCTTCAACACAATTATGACCCCGATGTCGAAACGGTTGTTTCGCAAAAAGCCGGAGATGACGAGCGCATTAGACACAGAGCATAGATTTCGAAAGGGTCAGATCGAACCCCAGACGAAGGTTTAATCTTATAAAGCAACCGGACGACGTTCAATTGTTGTAATTAACTTGATTGACCGTCTGTTAGCAATATGGGAAGATCCGACGACAGGATGGCGAAATGCGTCTGGCCGTGTACACAGTGAGAACAGGCGGACCAGAGTAGAATGTGATGTACCAATATTTTTCAACAATGGATTTTTTCTTTATTCGAGAATCTAAAAATGCTGCCGATTTTTTTGTTTAAATATATTACTCCTCATGAACACACTTGGGTCTGAAACTTCGCAATATTTGCAACTGGTGTCTAATTAACTTTCAAATATTGATTTTTGGATGTTCACTTTGGACTTTTTATGAGCTGAACGGGGCCCATTTAAAAGTATTAAAGTATTAACAAAGCTCATTCAAACAAAGCTCTACAAATTTGTTACTACCGTAAAGAAATGGAAAAATCATCTGTGCCCTTTTACAAAATGTAGAAATACAAACGTTTTGCCGGTGCTTTCTTTTCTTTTGAATAATTTCTTTCAAAAAAGCGTGAGCAAATCAGTTCGTCGGAAACTTCAATATTACTTTTTTAATAATAATAATGACAGACAGTGTAGTAGAGAGAAAGAGTGCAAAAGAGAGGGAGGGAAGAGAAAGAGTGAGAATGAGAGGGTTAGGTAGGTAGAGATAGGTTCATTGATAAATGAGAGATGAAGGGAAAAGGGCGACAGATTGAAAGACATGCAATAAATGAATTAGCGTACTAGCTAGATAAATAAATAGAAAACGAGTTAATGGGTAGAGAGATAAAGTGAAATAGAAAGAAGTAGTGTGAGAGAGAGAAAGAAAGAGAGTTGGAAAAGTACGACGATAAAAAATACATTTATATAGTCTGACTTGGAGAATAGAGATATGATAGAGACATATCTTGATAAAGTAAAAATAGAAGTAGATAGAGAGAGAGAGAAAAGAAGCTAACTAAGAAAGTAAAAGAAAACAGTGGGAGAAGGAGGATTGTGCATAGTCTATGATCTAGAGACATATCTTGATAAAGTAAAAATAGAAGTAGATAGAGAGAGAGAGAAAAGAAGCTAACTAAGAAAGTAAAAGAAAACAGTGGGAGAAGGAGGATTGTGCATAGTCTATGATCTAGAGACTGATATAGCAACATTCATAGGTCAAGAGATCGATAGAGAAATGCA